TCAGCTCTAGCGCTTAGTGCGACACCAACGCCAGCAAGACCAGACGAAGATACCACAGAGTCCCCGGATAAACGCACATAAAACAAGCTTTTTGAAGCGACAGATGGAGAGCGAACTTGTAGTACTTCACCAGAGTCTTAAATACGGGTCTCGGATAGACAACGAACATCGATATTAAGACTTTTCAAAGGCATAGCCAGCCCTATCTGCTGTCCGACCTGCATAAGTATGCGAACGTTGAAGGTAGCCAGTTTGAATGGTGCACATGGTTTCAGAAAAATTGCTTCAGTATTCGTATTCGGTGGTAGCATACAATTTTCAACCAGGCAGTGACTCGAGAACGTTTAGATAGAACCGAATTTCTACCATAGGCGAGCTGCTGTATAAGTCAAAAAATAAGGATACTTAAAGTGGGAGAAAAAGAGAGTAAATAAATGACGTGGCAAATAATAATAATAATAATAATAATAATAATAATAATAATAATAATGTGAATCATAAGCAAAGATGGATAGTGGCTAGCAGTGGAATCCAGGACACGCTAAGTGGATAACGCGATGGCGTTTGAAGCGGACGGTAGTGGGTTCGAGTCCCAGAGTGAACATCAAATCTGAGATGCAGGTACATCTAGCTGACGAGTCCCAAATAGGACGAAACGCGCGTCCTGGATTCCACTGCTAGCCACTATCCATCTTTGCTTATAATGCTTGTAAATTAAGGCAATATCGAGGCAATACGCACAGTATGCACACATGCCAATATGAGAGACTGATCAATTGCAGTCCTAAACATCAATGGGAAGATTTAAGTAAAACAATACCAAGTGAATTAATAATGTGAATAATTTGATTGTTAATTGGAGCAAGAAAGTATCTTCCATAAATGTCAACATTTCATCATGTTTGTGTGTGTGCAGGTGGTTTTCTTAGGAGTTCATATCACGAGCCTTTGACCTAAAGGTCTGACCCACAAGGAAGTGGAGCATCGTGAGGAGATGCAGTCCCATGGTAGCCGGTGACCAACGATTGGTTCATACGCCATTTGTTCTCGCAGGATACTGGAGCCCATGTGCACCATTGGAAACATGACTAGGTTTCTAATCTAATCTTATTTGAGAAGAGTATCTTACAAGTAAATATTTCTGAATAAGAACACAAAATTTAGAGGAAAGATATCATTTCAAAAGATTTATTGCCAGGCCTGTAAAAATAATCAGCTAATAGTAGATTATAATGTAAATAGAGTAAGATAATTAATATGCTTCTTGTCACAACAGTTGAAGATATTAGAGAGGCTAAATGAAATGAAGTGATGTTAAAAACAATTATAGAAAAATTTATGGGGATGTGAAGAATAATGAAATGAAGAGGAATATTTTCAAATTTGAAGTCAATGAAATGGAATTAAGTAATAATGACTTAAGGCCACGGTGAAGACAAAGAAAAGAAGTACTTCTTTTGTACACAAAATTATGGCTTCCTTTCAAGCATGACAAGAGATTATGCTTGTTTACGAAGTCAAACACTAAGAAATCTCAGATTTAGACAAATCTCATGTATTTTAAAACCAACATGTGAATCAGTGAAGTAATTAAGGCCGACTCAATGTTCAAAGACAGAACTGCCAACCGCTTTCACCTTATACGTGTAGAACCATGCTGAAACATATTTTCGTATCCGTGCAGCTTTTGATGATGTATCCTCTGAGCTGGACAATTTAACGTCGAAGCTTACATTTTCATCTTGTATATTAAATGGAAATGAGCTTCCTAATATAAGCACACAAGTGCTGTGTCAGTTCTTTTCAATTACCTGTGTGAATGCTTGTCTTCTAGAACTTTATTGTCTTCATGTTCTTTAGAATTCCTGTTGACCGTTTTGCTCTAAACACATGATCAATTGATCTTCACTGATTAAACTGATAGATTGGACGTATTTTGATTGTAATACAACTTAGATATCAAAATTTCAGGAAGTTTATGACGTCCTCCATCTAATTCTGTGCAAAAAACAGGACTACTGACTTAAATCCAATCATGAAACTTCAAAATTCTGATTTTATTTGCTAATTTAGTTTTAGTCTTGTAAGTCTACCTCTTTGATAATTAATAACTAGTGACAGATATTTATGCAAACAATTTTGTCTTTCCCCTTAATTGTTTAGAGTCTTTTGCGAAGATTTTCTGTCCTCCCCCCTCTCTCATTATCTGAGTATAAGTATAGAGATATTTTAGTTGAAGGATTGTTTCATACACTAACATTTTAATCGGCGTTTGCTGAGTTAAATTATTTTCAACAGATTCATTTTCTTTGTACTAATTTTTCCATTACTACTTATGCTTTCTCTTCTGTCAGAGTTAGAAAAATATTTCAGCTAATAGATTGCACAATTAAGCAAATATCTTATGTAGAAGACTAATTAGAACTGTTAGTTCCTAACTGTTATTTGACATTTATGGATATGAAGAAATGATATATACGCAAGCAAAACCCAAAACCCTCATCTTCTGAATTTAAGTTGGCACATTAAGCTCAAGTCAAAGATTCTTTCTGGGTAAACCATATTCATTTACTGCTTTACTGATAGGCCAAACTCCATCAGTGGTCACTTAAGTGGACAAAGACCAACGCACTTTGATCTTAGATGAGTGAAGATCATTGATATTATGCAATCAAATAAAAAAAACAGCATCGTAAACAGTTTGCTAGTTTGATAATGTTTCTACCCCAGATTTCGATTCATATTACTACGTGGTTTGGAAGATCTTATTGACCGATTTGTTCTGTAATTGGATAAATCAGAATGTCATTTCCCATTCTCTGTGAAACCTAAGGTCCAGGATTCGATCGCTAATGTGGTTTTGGATGAGTACTGTTGACAGGTTCCATACTAGGGTGAAACAGCTTCTAATGACTTCTAGTTCTTATTGACTGTCTGACCAACATTAACACGTGACGTGAACTATGAAAGTCGTAGATTTGCTTAATAATTCTTCGCAGTCATAAGCAAAATGCTGTCTTCCTAAGTTCCCTACGGCTCAATAGAGTAATATACTGAAGTTAGCAATCGTACTTGTTGTCAATTTGTGTGTCATGAATGGAATCCTGCTCCTATAATTTTACTACTTCACTGGTTCATATAGGTCATCAATAAAAACCTGACAATTCTCTAAAACTCACCCAGTAATGACGAAAGGATACTACTACAAATATACTTATGTTTTAAATCTTTTCGGATTTTACTAAATAGGTGTCAGTTTGTAACTCATCCTCTAGAGGAAGAAACTACAAGCATCAAAATAATATAGTTGGCTGATTCCCACTACTGTCTTGAAATTGAAATAATTCACTTTGATAAATTACGCAAGTATTTAATTCACTGTAGTTCAAGAAGATTGTGGAATGCAGGTACATCCAGCTGAAGAGTCCCAAATAGGACGAAACGCGTGTCCTGAATCCCATTACTAGGCACCATCCACCTTTGCTTATTACTTTATGAAGTTATTATTGAATTTAATATAAAATATTTAAAACACTATTACAGTTTTCTTTATCATTATTTACTGATACGATTAGTTTAATCTTTCCCCATTGTAATTTGAGTAGTTCAATTTTCTTAATAGATTTGCGAAATGGTTTTATCAATTTACATATATCGATTGTTTGGATTTTCCCACTGATGCTTAAAACTCCATTTGATCAGTCTCTTTTGGGATATGTGCATCCTGTACGGATAGCCTCGATATTATCATTAAGTCACAGGCATTTTTAAGCAGGTGCATCCAACTGACGAGTTCCAAACAGGAAGAAACGCTCATCCTGGCTTCCATTGCTAACATTATTTCATCTACTCTACATAGAACTGGCGAAAGTACAACTTTATCAAGACAGTCCGCACAGAATACAGATGTACAAGTTGTAAGCAGCTGGTGAAAACCTAGCAAAACAAAATGAGAAATACATTTATTGAGATTGAGATCAGTGAATTTCATAGCTGTCTAAATTGTCAGTTCGTGACCTCAACAAAATCCGAATTTCGACGTTCTGCCCTTGTCGTTGATTTTACGTTTTCCAACCTAATAAAATGTTATAATTTCAATATGAATACCTGAGCCATAACATCTTCAATTACAGCATAAAATAGCACATTCATTTCAACGTCTGAAACAAGTTGTTTTGATGAGAAGTGTCCGAGATCTGATATTGATACACGTGCTACATGCTGACCACCCACCTGACTACTTGACCAAAAACATAAAAGTGGACGAGATAGTGTATCAGGTTATCGAATGATATATACTCATATATATCCCTTATAAAATCAATCTACTTGTTAGTCAATGATACGCACATGTCTTTTAGGTCGTTTCGGATTGTCATAAAGTTACCTTCTCATTTGGCTACTTCTGATTGGTTCACTATATCACGAATCTTGGAAATAAGCATTATCCGTAGAATTTACAATTTGAGTGCCACAACAGATATTCACAATCCTACTGTATCAATTACACCTTTTTAAAAATTTGTACATTGAGTACTTTTAGGTGTCACAAGGCTATTTCTACGATCTTTATTTTCTCGAACAAAATTCTATTTCTACATAATGACGAAAATTTACTTATATGAAATGAAATCAAATATTCTCAGTAGCTTTTTAAATGACATCAGTTTTAACAGAAAATTGTTTTAAAACAAGAAGTGGTCTTTGTAAACGTTAAATCAAGATCAAGAAATTTACATAATAGTTTAGTAGGCCTATTGGTAACGATCAGATATCTAATTTTTCCTGTTCAATCAAGTGATTTCAAAATGTGTATCGTCAAACTTCAACATTATAAATTTGATTTACAACTGATAGTATACGCGGACATTTCAGCCACCTAACTCACATTTATCTACATTCTAGTAATACTTTCATTCTACAAATATATAATATAACAGAATCTTATGTGATTAGGGATTACTCCGTAGAAAAAAAATATAATATACAGAAATATAAAGTAATGTAACTCAATAAGTATATTTTAGGCTTTAACTAATACTCCATTCTCTGATAACTGTTTAGATATAGTACTGATATTGTCTTGTATAGATGACTGTATATTAATTGTACTAGTATTAATATTCCAGTCCGTTGAAATTCTAACAAATTGTTGATATTCAATATGGAATAGTAGAACCAGTGAAAGAATAAATCCAACTATCTGAAAGAGAAATAACTTCATATAAATAAAAGGAAATAGCACAACGTTTAGTAAAAACGTTTTATGAGGACCGATGTGTGATCGATTAAAGCGAGATGTGATTGAACAGCGAGTGGAGAAAAATAGATACCCAGTTTGTCAAATGTTATGACATTAATTAATATCATGAATTCCGCTCTATAATTGATTCCTACTCTAATATCACTGTGAACTCCACGTGAACTACTTGGATTTGTGTTAAATAAGCTACTGTTTGGTCTATAATCTGATAGTCGATTGTTGGTCGTGAATCTTTCATCTCGATATAACATGATGCTGTCTATACATAGTGTACTAAACCGTTGTATTGCCCCATTGTCGTATTATTCACTGAAAACTCGAAATGAACCGGATTTTGCTGTTATAACGAAAACAACTCACAGATAGCGCCAGAGCAGTTGTGCCTGAAGCAGCTAACATTATTGAATATTGTTGATACTCTTGTCTGACTACCGTTACACATCCCTAGAAAAGCAAAATATTTAAGAAAAAACTGGACATTGTTGATGATTTTTACCTTTTCATATAGATATGTATTACTTCTAGTGGTATATAATGGATTATCAATACGAGGTGCAATATCATCTCTTGTTGTAAGTGACTTATAACCAATACATAATTCTCTGTCTAAGAAAACACCACTTTGTGACTGAATTTCTGAGAAAGAATTGAATTGAATATTTTGACTTTTTAAAACACAACAACTTTCTGGAACGTATTGGACTGTTGATTTTAAACCTATGCCAAAATATTAAAAAAGGCATTTACAAGTTTCAAATAGACTAAAATGAAACCTTATTTCAAGTAATTGGAAGACAGTTTTGTCCCAGTTGGTCACAAGTAAAACATTTTTTAGGAGAAAATAGCGAGGTTTAGGTAAAAGGGATTCGCTATCTAAATAAATGGTTTTAAGAAAGTCAAATAATTTATTGAGATTTCTGAGATTGCAAGTGAGCTGGTAAGACAATAAAGTTATCATTAAGATGCATGAACCAATAGAATTCAGTCACAAATAATAACTTGAAAAAATACCTTATTTACCACTCAGTGACCCATTAGTGTACATAACTCAACAATATTTGCAGTTATTTTCAACTTGAATAGCTCATTGGTGATGCCTATGGTCCTTACAATAGACAACTTGCGTTTGATTTCTGCACCTTGCTCGTAGTTTTTATAATAAACTTTATATTAAACCATTCACATCCAGGCATACGTCAAACAAAAATATTAACCTAAAAGTTGGTGAATATTTGGCATAGATCAAGCAATACACCGTCAAGATTCGCCACATTAATGAATCCACAATACTCCCAGTATCTGAGAGAAAAAACTAAAATCATAGACTGCAAACATTTTACTGTTGAACCTCAGATTTTCTTCTATTCATTACCCTAAGTACCCATATGATACAAGCTATTTAGTAATAATAATCAAGATCATGCTATTTTGTTTTCAATCGGTGTTTGCTATCTGCCCAAACTATTACCCCAGTAGCCCAAAAATGTCTTCAAAAAGTAAATGCAAAAGGTTTAACAGATCTGGAATTTTTACTTTCTCAACTTCATGTAGTACCACCGCGTCTTCTGAATTTGTTTATCATTAGCATCTAAAATGAATACTTAACAACCAGTGATAAGAGTCATCGTATGAATTTATATAAAGCAATCTTCAGTTAGTGTAACTACATTTTGACGTTGGCTTGTAGTCTCTGAAATGGTCTATTTGTACTTATATCTATATTTTATGATGTGTCAAATACTTTTACTTGCTTTCTTCTTTAGAAGTATGATTGGCCGGATTGTTTTGTACTTAGCTAGATGAAAAATAGTGCATTAGGCAATCAGAAAATTTAAGATAAAATTTGTTGACATTTTTAACCACATGTTCACACTCGCACATCCATAATAAAATGTTTGAGTCTTTATAATAATGATTGCTTGTGTACAAATACTTTTTCCGGGATTGAGCAAATGTACTAGGAATGTATTAAAGACACAACAACACATATTACTCATAGTATATTGAAAAATGAATGAAGATCAACTAAGTCACTAGCTTGATAAGTTTTGTAGGTTTGGAAGTGCTTGTCGATGTAGAAACTGAGAAACGTAACTATACTCGTCTTAATATAAAAATATTTGGCCGTCCCCAATGATGTTCTCGTTCACTACAGTACTAGGACACAAGCGGTTTATCCTAGAAGCTGAATAGACTTTAATAACTTCAATAACTATTGAGCCATTTTTATTTTCATAACAACTTTATTCTTTTCACAGAAAATTGTGGCCTTCAGTGAATCTACGTCTCGTATTTATGTCCTTGTAATTCTAAACTTAGTCATCTTGTGTATACATCAGCCACTCATTAGTTTATCTAAAGCCGTTCTCTTGTCCACACTAGGCATTATCTATTTTGAGTGTATGTGAGTGCATCGCTTACTTTACTCATCATATATCTATTGCTTATTTTAGTGTGGTATAAATAATGGATTAGTATCAAGATTATTTGACACGCTTGCCTTCGCTTAGTTTCCATGCTTCTTATTTTAATGTCGGTCTGCGCAAATGATTACATGAAAAAAACCAATTCAACTTATTCCGTGTCTGGCTTCTTAGTACCCACTTTTCATGAACAGAATTGGTCTAGATGCAGTATACGGAACTAAATGAGGGTATATTCATTTGTTTGTTCAAAATGGAATCACATCACTAGCCACTAAAATTCTCAAGACCAAATAATTCTTCTCTTTAGAAATAAATAACAAACGAACAAATTTACCAGTCTTTCATATTAGGACCTACCTAGCTCTTGCGTTACGTGAAACCACGTGCTTGATTTTCTATAAATAAACCATGAATAATTACTTGATTTTTCACCATGAGTACCACAACACTTAAACTACATTTGCACAAGAAAGAAAATTAGACTTTAATTCGCATACTTTGAACTGAATTTCATTTAATGCAGCAGTTAAATCCTTATTTCGACGAAGTGACATATTTACACCATAATATTTCGTTATTGCTGATGTAAATTTACCTGGCAATTCTATGTCCAACTAGAAAAGAGTATGTAATTATCAATAAGATACCACCTCCAGTAATAGCAAGAATCCACAAACGCTTACTGACAGAAATGCCAAAATAAGGATGAAGTTGCTAATTATGTGCTTTCTGAGTAAAGTTTGAAGCAAAACTTACAATTAGTAACAAAGTAGGACTATCAACGTTGAAAATGCAGTATCCAAAAACAGCCACTCCAGCTCCAACTATAGATGAAATAAGCAATATAAGCTTTCCGGAAGAAAAGTAATAAGACTTCATGATAATTTCGAAGTCAGAAAACCGAGATGTCCAAATTAGTAACCAACATGATAGGCCCACAAGAATTCCCATTAATAACTAGGGAATTATTATTTAACAGGAATTACCAAGAAAATAATCTGATGAGTAAGTAAAGAATTTTTCAACCAAACACTTAGAGACGTCTGTACTGGGCGATATGTTTTGAAGACCATGTGTTCGGATTTACGAATTCAGACTCATCATATCCATAGAAGCGAGCTTTGGTTGAGTTAGATAAACAAGTTCAGTATTTAGCAGCTTCAAATATCCAATGTTCAGTTGCTAACGTACATATTTGTGTGAAGAGTTACTACAAATAATCTTACTGATTCGAACTTCCATCTTGATTTCATAGTTCAGTTTTGGATCTCTAAATAGTTCAAACTATTGGGAAGGATAAGTGATTCAATGGCTTGTTTTAGTCTTGCCAATAATGGTTGTTCACTTGACACAATTTTCTTTTGAAAACGTCGACAGACGGTGTTACTGTCACGTGTTATGGTAATGAATTTCATTTGTTGATTTGTCGATAGGAAAGTCGATAGTCATCTAACAAGTAATTTGCTCTTGGGTTGTACACTTTTTCGGAGTGTCCTCGTCAATCCTCTGATTTGAAAAACAAGAACATTAGGGCATATCAAACGCAGATTTACCATCAACTAACCCAAAAACTGTGATCAAGTCACATCTATACCTCTATATGACAACGGAAATAGATTTCATTTAGCCAGTCTATCATAACAGGAGGGCTTCGCCTTACCAAGAATCAGTTTACTTGCACTTCCTCAACCTTTTCAACCGTTCGTTGTCGCATCCCAGGTAAGGGCCAGCAGCTTCCATTCACTAATCGAGTTAAGCACCAACGAACACTGAAGACAAAGTCAAATAGGTCTGAATATGGACATGAATGCAAGCTCTACTCATTGACCAAGGAGCTCTAAAACCTTCGGCGGCCACCTCATGGTAGTATGTAGTAATTTTTTAAGCCTTGTCGAATAGTGTATCTGGACAACAGGTGGCTCGATGTTGTTCATCCTATACGTCTCTGTACCTTGATGACCAATATGAATCAAAATGTACTTAGAGGTATTCATAGACAACTTGCAAGTTCTAGACAACTCAGACAATTTCTCCGAATCATTTCCAATCTCTAAGCTGCAAAATTCGCTCTCCATCGATATCCGTATCCAGATATCGTCATCATCACCGATGATGTTAGAAGAGTATTAAGATCATCTATATACAGGAGGAATAACATTGGCCCATAAACTGCACCTCGGAGAACTCCGTCAAGCAAACTTTCCCAGCCACACAACAAGTGGCTTAGTCATACTCATTCCTGACACTTAACTGACAAATCCTTTATCCACATAAGTAACCTACCTTCACTTCCGATATCACTTGATTAACAAAAAGCTTATCGAAGTCGATGACGACTACATCTATTAATAGATTCTGATCGTTGAGGCCGCATCGACGTACACCAGTTACTAGTGAGTTTGTTAACCATGAACAACGTTTCATGAAACCGTAATACTCTTCACAAAGGATCCAGCTTTTCGTCTGGATCCGTAAACAACACCTGAATAATCTCAAAAATTTTAATAATTTCGTTGGGTAGGTTTATGCATCGATAGTTCTCAGGTATGTGTCTTCTTCCTGTTTTGAAGACAGGATTTACTGCGATCTTCTTCCGGTAGTTTGATAATCTACATTGAGCTACATATAGATCAAAACATATGCCTAATGAATTTGAGATACAATTTGTTACTCCCACCAGCATTTGATTGGGTCACCCCAATTTATTGATAACCAGCTAATTTTGCAGACAGAAGTAGACGAGAACTTTAGTGAGTACTATTTTCAAAATCTGCATGAAGTTCGCTTGTAGCCTTTCTAGAATTATTGCCCATCCCAAGCCCACACAAAGATGGTTGAGCATGGGGTTGCGACCCTATCACATAGAAAAAAATCTTGCCAAAATACGCCAATCAGATTAAACAAACCAAACCATGTAAACTGTGTCGATAATGTTTTGAGAAGACGAAGTTTATCAGAAATATGTCATATGGTTAGGCAATACATTTCAAACAATCTGATTACATATATACTGGTAATACTAAATTATTATCCAGAGTGGTTATATCGTTTTTTTGTACTTTGGTTATTTTATTCTTTGTTGCAGCTTACGTTTAACCTGTCATATAAGAATGTCTTGACAAGTATATGTGTGATCAGATTGTTCAGAATGTACTGCGTAAATATATCACATAATTTCGATAAACTTCGATTACTCACTGCATTATCGAAATTTTTCAGCAGGAATAATTGCTTTAAACACCCGAACTATGCACTCCGAGTTAAAAGATCATCATTCACAACAATTAGGACGCCTCATGGTGAAAGCCGAATGCAACGGAAAGAGAACTATGAAAATCCCTCCGCATCCTTTTTGTTGGGTAGTACTGTCATTTATTTGTTTCTTCTCCCTGTCGTGTATTTGAACCTTCGATCAGATCTCGTTTAACCACACATTGTGTTCTTCAGTCTTCTTCGTCTGAGCATTTATTACGTGATTTTGATTAAAGACTTATCTTTTGTTATCTAATTTTCTATTGCGTGTTGCCGAACTATTGACAGTAAAGTCGTGTTTGACTAAGCTCAAGGTCACAGAGTGGTTCAGCATATGACTGTTAGCTTTTTGACTATCTGTTTGGGAGGATTTCTGGAATCCCTGAATATAGATATTTGATCCCATCTTGTTGGGAATATTTTTATTGATTCTCAAATATCGAACACTTTGGTATTAACTTCTTCCTTTGTTGTTTAGCGCGCTGCTTTGCGTTACAGAAACTTTTGACTGTATAGCACAGGCTGTACCGTTTGGGGCATTTTGTATTTTTGATATAATTTTTTCTATTTCCTAAATTAGAACCGGTTAAATTGAGCACATAGTTTGTGTTTTGATATAATTTAATACGAGTGTCTCAAAAACGCTTGGTAAGCTATACAGAAGAACGTAGTCTGACCTATTCGAATACACATTGGTTCGTCAGCCCTGCGTTTAAACCGAATACTGACAGTTCGGTCGTTACACCGAGATTCTTCGGAAGTCACCAAGCCATTTTCGGTAATCAGAGTAGCAATTAATATAGATACTTGGAATGTCCGGAGAATGTGGGAGACCGGGAGGACCAGTCGAATAGCTACGGAAAGAAGAGATACAACTTGAATGTGCTCGGAATCAGAGAAACCTGTTGGACTCAAGCTAGACAGGAAAGGATAGATTCGGGAGAGATGCTGCTGTACTCCACTCACGAAGAGGAACATGCTCCACACACCCAGGGAGTTGCTCTGATGCTGTCCAAAGAAGCACGTAAAGCACTTTGAGCATGGGAGTCTTGTGGATCCACGATCATCAAAGCATCTTTCGAAACAAATAATGAGGGGATCACAATGGATGTTATCCAATGTTGTGCACCCACCAACGATAGCAATGATGATGATAAATTTCAGTTGTATGGGAGGCTGCAATCAGTCATAAAGAAGTGATCATGAAAGTACCTGACCGTCCTGATGGGAAACCCGAACACCAATGTCGGAATGGACAACTACGGTTATGATTATATCATGGGACGACATGAAATGACTGGGAGAAACGAACGAGAATGGTGACATATTTTTAACAACTCGGTTACAGGCTGCTCAATATTCCCACACAAACACACACAGAAAGCTATATAGGTCTCACCGGATCACGCTACACACAACCAGATCGATCATATTTGCATAACTAAAATATTCAGAAGATCAGTAGGCGTGAGAACCCGGAGAGAAGCTGGCATTGCGTCAGGTCACCACCTGGTTGTGGTCAAGATGAAACTGGAGCTAAAGAAACACTGGACAGCTGGATGGACTACACTGCAAAGTGGTGCATGGAGGACAGTTGACAGACGCATTTCAAGTGACGACCTGAGTCAGACAAGGCTGCATACTCTCCCCCCTTTTCCTTTCCTCTGGTGGTTGGTTATGAAGACCTGAACAGCTGGTGGGAAGCAGGGAATACAATGGACAGATTGGATGCAACCAGACGATTTGGACTTCGCGGGTGACCTGGTTCTTCCATCCCATACACGCGGACAAATGCGGGTCAAGACAGTCAGTGTGGTAGAAGCCACTGCACCAACAGGCTTTATTATGCACCAGAGGAAAGGCATGATCCTCAAATACGTCACGGAGAGTACCAACTCAATCACACTTGATGGGGGAAACTCTGATGAATGTGGAAACATTCACGTACCTGGGAAGCATCATCGATGCAAAAGAGAATCTGATGCAGCATTACTACAATTGAAAAACGTGTGGAACTCGAAACAACTATCTGCACGCCAATGTCAAAGCCAGAATCTTCGATACGAATGTCAAGACAGTTCTGCCGTACGGAACTTTAACGTGAAGAACTACTACAGCCATCATCAAAAATGTTCAAGAATTTATAAACAGTTGTTTATGCAAGATTCTGAACGTCTGTTGGCCGGAAACCATCAGGAACAGCCTACTATGGGGGAGAACAGACCATTTTCAAGCTGAGGAGAAAATTAGGAAAAGTTGTTTTACGTGGGTAGGACATACATTTCGGAAATCACCAAACCGAACTCGAAGCAGACGCTAACTTGAATTCTGGAGGGGATACGGTATACAAATCGTTATAGTGTTTTGCAAGTACCTAAACTTTACCACAATCGTCATCCACTAGTGATATGATATTACTGTCTTCTCATGGTGCTGGGATGTTTCCTCTTGTCTTAAACCTTTGTATTATCTACAAATATGAATATTAAGAGTGCTCCATAGAATTTTTAATAAGCTTTTATTCCTCGTAGATACAGTAGATACAGTCTTCTCTGTGGTGGGTTAGTCAATTAGTTCGATATTTTATAAGTTATGTTGATCATAGAAGTATGGGGGACAACACTTCTCCCATATGAATGCAAATAATATTGGTAAGATCCGTATTGTCAACACAACATTTGGTGCGCTTTATGGAGATTGCGCTGTGACGTGCCACTGATAATCGGGAGCAAATCCACGTAAATTTGAAAGCTTCTATAAACCATGGCCTTATAACCCTCTGGTACATCAGAGGCATTAACGAGGGCGCAGGAGAATGTCACACGTTCCATAAGCGTTATCAGTGACATATCTTGAGAGGAATGAAAAATATGGTAAGGAAACGAAACGACGAGAATCAAAGCATGCAGTGTCCATGCATATTGAAGTTGAGTCATTTGTGGTGAAATAGAGAACGTATGACTACTTAGTTCAATTTTCTATTATTAAGGTACATTTTAACCAAGAGCATTCTTGTAGATTAAAGAAAACGAGCCTAAATATGGTACGAATGGACAAGGAAATGTATAGATGGAGGTGGTTCAAAAAAGAAACTGAGAGTATAGGGTTATGTGAAGTTTTAAAATATAGTACTGAAAACAG